AAGTTATGATAATTACGTGACATTTTATTTACAAGTTTGGTGAGATTGGATCTGGAAAACAACGTATTAACTGGTGAAATACCATCTTCCCTTGGTAATCTTAAAAAGCTTCAATTCTTGTAAGTACATGACGAGTCCTTGCAAGTTGCATGTACTATTTTGTGTAATGTTTAAGAATGTCTAATTTTGTTCCTGCAACTAGTATTTAATTTTGTGTAATTTTTTTTGTTCCTGCAATAAGAGAATATCAAAGCAGTTAGATTTCACTATTCTCTCTTTCTTCTCCTCTTTCTTAGTTTCTATTATGGTATATATGCTAGATGGAATACTTGGTAATCTCTGACCTTTCCCTAAACAATAAGGGCTTCAAAAGCCCAAGACAAACTTATGAGTTAATAAAACATTGCACAAACTTAAAGTAACTTTAAAGGCCTCATGATGAGGATTCTCTAGCCTGTTATGCCACACAGTGTATAATGAGGGAACAAACATTAAACTTGGTGGAGTTCCTTTTAGAGTAGGTACAATCTATGGTTGGAATTGGAAGACCCCTGTGTTGGTCTGTTTTCCACTGATTCCAATTAGATGTAGTGAATCTCTGCCGCTGATTCTGATTTGGATTATTCCATTATGCATGCATCATGTCACGTACCTAGTAGTGAATCTCTGCCGCTGATTCTGATTTGGATTATTCCATTATGCATGCATCATGTCACGTACGTAGGGTTATTTGTATCACTGCTATGGTTGTATTCAGCAAGATGACATAGAGGAATTACTGAATTGAATATATATCTCTAGTTAAAGCAATGATGATGATGTATGGAAGAAAAAGAGTAATATTTAGAGAACGTGTTTTGCATATAAATTGGGTATCGGTAGCATTCACGTAGTAACAATTGTTTTGGTGCATTACTTTATTCAATTTGTTAGATGCATATTGTAGTTGAGGTGGTGTATTATATTATACATAATTTTGTTGAATTTGTTTGGTGATTATAACTGATACGGGTGTTTAGTATAACGGCCAAACCACTGTTGTAACTTGTAAGCACATGATTAGGAAAACTAGGTAATATAATAGTGTAATCTTGAACATGGTCTTGAAACGTCGAGGACCACTCGTTAAGATAGTCATTGCAGAACTGTCCTGCACTGTCAAGATAATCTTCTTCTATGCTTAATTGAGAGGCTTCAAACAATGCAACTAAAACATTTATATCCTTACAAAACACATGCTTGAGTTTGCCTTTGTTGTCCCAGAAAATGTTGAATATGTCTGTAAAATGCATCAAAACAGTAATAAAAACGATAACATAAGTGCGAATACTTAATTATGAGTTTAAACCAATATGTTATCTAACCAGCTGGTCGAATGTAATAACTTAGTTTAGATATCTAGCTCGGTTTTACAGAAATGAGTGTTAGGCTAACTTTGAAAATTTAAATTTTGTAGCCCCGTTCATTGTTCCTGATGTCCAAGATGTTTATACTCCTTTGCAAACTGATGTAATTGTTCCACTATCTGAGGTTAGAATTACTTAATAGTTTTAGATGAATAGTTCTAGATGATGGAGGAGAAAGAATCTTTGTTAAAAATTCTAATTCCTGCACGTTGTAGGCAGAGGAACAAACTTGTTCCTTAGACAATCAAATTTTGACATACATTTTAATTCTATGATTATAATATTTTATACTAAATAATAATGTAATATGTATTATGTGACAGCAAGAAATTTGATTTATATTTTGTATTTGGTTGATTCTTTTAGCTATTGCATTCTGTTTTAGGGGAGAATCTTATACCAAAGCCTCATAGTGACGTGACGCCTTTGTGCACTTTGGGTGGTATGTCAAACATGACAACTGGCTTATATTTATTTTTTAACCTGGCTTATATTTATTTACTTTAAAAAATTAATTGGAGGTTGTTATCTTTTGAAAATATGTTGGAGTCACTTTAGTTGTTTTATACTTATTTATGCATCATATATAAAATTCGTATTTGGACTCCTTATGCGCACACTCACTCTTCAACACTCCAATTCACAACACTCCCCAACCTAACAAGATACGAATTCCGATCAACCACCAGTTTCGGAACCTCATCACACATTACTCCTCCAATTCCCGCCATGTCTCCACATGCGGTATGTGTTCTTGAAATTTTGGAATGTTCTAATTTTATGCTTTCTTATTATTCATTGCAGTTCTAGAATTTTTAGTAATACTTTTATATATAAGTTGAAATTAACATTTCCAGCATTGATAAACTTGTAAGGTTCAGTTAGCTCAGGTTCAGTTTGGATGAGATTTCTAGCTTATAAAAAATGTTAGTGTTTGTATGACTTTGCAGTTGATGTCATCATATCTGAATGGATGGGTTACTTGCTTCTGCGAGAATCTATGTTCGATTCTGTTATATGTGCTCGTGACCGCTGACTTAAACCAACAGGAGTGATGTAAGTATTGTTTTCTTCTAAGATATTTCCAATGCAGTTTTTCTAACATTAATATTCATTTTGTGAATGAGTAAATCTTTGGTGGCTACTGGTGTTATGTTACAGTTGCAATGATTTAAAAATATTTATTTTCTAGGTATCCCAGTCATGCTCGCATGTGAATGGCGCCTATCAGGACTGGAATAGTAGAATAAAAATTGGATGATTACCAATCTGCTATGGGTGATTGCAGAGCAAATACTATCTACAGGCAAGTTTTAAACTTAGTACACTTTAAGTGTATTTGTTATGTTTCATTTAAATTAAATGAAATTTTGGTTATGGTTGGAGTTGTTGGCTCTACATCATGTGCATCATGTGCTGGCTTGTAGAGACACAGGCTCGACATGCTTTACAGGACTGAACAATTCAAATCATCATGGGCGAATAGTAGGTGTAGGTAATTTGTGTCATAGTGGTTGGTGTTGTATGAGTAGAGCTTTGAACAAGAGTCAAACTCCTAGTATCTACATTTGTTATCATAAACTATATTTTAGGGAATAACTCACAGTAGAATATTTTACCCAGATCCAATCCCACATAAGCAGAGACTCTATTATCTTCTCTAGTCTACAATGGGAGTTATCCCAGCTTTCTTGCAGAAGATTTCATTAATCCGTTTAAGTTATATGTTGCATATAAGACTAATTTATGCTTTCTATAATTTCTGTAGACATCATTGTGGAGCAATCTTCATCAACATCAAGTTATAGGAACTCTTGGTATAGTAAAGGAAATTGACTGTTCGACTGCCACAGTGGTGGACATAGAGAAAGTCAGATCAAAATTTTCTCTATCAATAACCATAGACAATACAAAATTGTGTGGACCAAGAAGGGTGGTTTGATGTGCATTTCCGGGTAAGATCCTCTAACCTGTAATGGCATTATATCTATCCAATCTAATATCATAAATCTTATTGTTTCATGTTTTTTCTTACCAACAGTAGCTCACATGGCAGCTAGGAAACAAGGAAAGATTGTGAATGTTGGCAGTGTTACTGGATTGGTTTTAAGTTCCCCTTCAAACTTGTTTTAATTTTAAATATGTTCATGTCTGCATCATATTAACTAAAGGTAATTCAACTGGTTAAGAAATTGTTGTTTGTTGTATACAGGAAGGGAGACATGGTGTTAGTTAAAGAGTTACTATACCCTGTGATTGTGAATGAGAAAATTACCTGATATGTTTATTTTTTTTAAAGGGAGAAAATTACTTTGAAATAGATATAGATATGCATAGATTCAGCTATATCTCTAGGAAAGGATTTGAAGCATTCATGGACAGATTAAAGAACTGCACTCTAGATGTTGGCCTTACAATTCAGGCATGTAGTTTTCTCTTATGACAAAAACATTACATGAACTTTATCTTATGATTCTACTAATTATTATCATATAATATTTGTTCATGTTCAAGGGAACAAAGTTGAGGAGCTGCCAGAGCAAGTGTTATGTTGTATAACATTGACCACTCAAATTACAAACAACTAGGACTAACTCAAGATCCACTATAATATTATAATGGAAAAAGCTTATATATAAAAGCTTTTTCCATTATGGTGAATTGACTAGTTTTATATATTTATTTATTTATATTTAAATTTAAATTTACAGTTTTATATCAAATTTTTGAAAACACATCATTTAAAAAGTTCATAAAAAGAATAAATTAGTCTTGTTAGTGAATTGACTAGTGAAGTGGTAACTCAAGAAACCAGTTGATTCTGAGCGAAAAAGGAAAACGAAAGATCTCTCATCCCCTCAAGAACGAACCCTAGCTACTTACGCCAATATCTTCTCTAGGTTTTGTTTCAGTTCATCATCGTTTTCTTTAGTAAGTTCTTATCTTCTCTCTTTTTGGATCAGTTCATCATCGTTTTCTTTAGTAAGTTCTTGAATTCATACGTACCAGCTCAGAGCAAGACGAGGATTTGACAAATTCAATGTATTCTGCAATTAATATTGGGAATTCCCTACTTAACCTTTATGTGTTCATGAACTTATATTATGATATGATGTTAGTTTTTTTCTCTTAGCTCTATGTTTATCTAACGAAATTCATTCTCAGCGTGGAAAGGAACTCTCTCTCTCTTCCCTTAAGAACTTCTGTTTCTTGTTTGTGGTTTTGATCATCATCATCTTCTTTCTCTGGCTGGGTAAGGACCTTTATTTTCTTTTTCTGTTTTGATTTGGAAATAAGATTTATTGTTTATTCTTCTTCACTTTCACCAAAATTCTGTAATGGTTTATACTAGAGTACCATATCTAGATCTTACCATTGCCATTCATACTTTCTGTTTCCAAGTCGGGACCCAAATACCATATCTAGATCTTACCATTGCCATTCATACTTTCTGTTTCCAAGTCGGGACCCAAATATTGGTTCCTCATTAAGATTGATTTTTTCGTGGTATCCAATTCAAATTAAATTTTATTTTGTACATTCTTGAATTCATAGAAAAGAAATTGGCAAAGGCAAGAGAAATTTAAAAATACAATGGAGTCTGCTGTTAGTTCACATGTGAGTTCTTTTAGTTATTTTTTTTAGTCCAATTATTTTCTTTTGTTTTTTGTCTTTCTTTTTAAAGAAGAGTGTTGATTAAAAAAACTTTTTTGTATTTTGAATCTCAGGTTTCTGAGGAACAGATCAACATTTCTGGTATGCCCATTTGGGCACAGGCAGCTTTCAGGGATAGGACACAATTGAACAGTGTGCCGAGCAAGGTTTACAAAGTTTCACTTTTTAATCGGGATAACGTTTTGGTTCGTGTGCCAATTGAGCATTCAACACCTGAAGTAGCCCGTCTTACAATACTCGAGTGGATAAGCGGCACAAATATACTCATGATGGTTCTAATGTTCCTTATAAAATTCTCTATTTTGCACGCACTGAAGCTTCTGTGGTAAATATTGTTCGTGATATATTGATCTGTTTTGAAGACTTTAACATCAAAGTTGGAGGTCACAGTGAAGATAGAGATATTATTGTAACGACTCCTCTAAAGTGGAATAGTAGGATATGGAAGAGCAATCATCCTCAAATGGAAATTGATCTCATCATTATTTATGAGATAAGGTTTTTTAATGATGTTGCTTATGGAAAATATCTCGAAAATATAATTTCAAGAGCATATATGCTGTCTAGCAATGACGTTCGTATGGTGGGGTTGTCGGCTTTTCCTATAGCTCTGGATATAGCACATTTTTTGAAAGCGGATCTAAATAAAGGATACTTTGATCACGAGGGAATAGTTGTACCTGGCCATATTGATAATTTGCTGAATGACCACAGCCAACACCTTTCTGTTTCCAAGCTGGCAGATCAGCTGAATTCAGCAATTGCTATTGGTACGGTTCTAAATGCGAAGCAAGCATCACTTTGGCTTGGATGCACTTGCCTGTATACACGAATGGTGAAAAGTCCTTCTGTATTTGGTTTAACAACCAACAACGTTAGATTGGAGGAGACCAGGGATGATTTGGTACATATCTCATTGCTCTAATCTATTTTTGTTTTTTATTACCTCAACTAGATTAAATTATTCCTTGCTGTTAGTGGTTGTTGTTAGCATTGCTTTGATTTATGCAGTATAGTTCCATTAGAAATGAACCATCTTTGAAACAACAAATTACTAGATTGTTGTTGTCATTATTTTGATTTATGTAGAGTTGTTTGAAAAGGGATGAAAATTAACTACTTTAGTTTTGGTACTGGTTCTAGGTTCTTTTTTACAGTGTCTGAACTTGTGATTGGTACAATTTACTTAGGGCCGCATGAAAATAAAACCAAAATTTCACTAACATTTGTAAGATACAAGTTCTTTAACTTTTTATTTAAGTTCAATTATTTTTTTCTTTGAATATTTATTGGATTTTTGTTGGTAATTCTTGTCATTAGGTTAATTTTATTTGCTAAATTCCTCTTTGATAGTGTCTATTCTTGATATTGTATAGTTAATAAAGAATTTAATGAAAAGGGGATCAAATCATCGTGTAAAGATCTATTTATATTTTTCAGATTAATAGAGCAGCTGCCATATTAGAAAAAACTGGTTTGATCAAGTATGATAGGAAGAGTCGATATTTTGAAGTCACAAATATTGGTCGAATTGCAAGTTACTACTCGGTAGTATATGGAACAATTTCAAAGTATAACGAGCATTTGAAGCCTACAATTGGAGACAGTGAACTTTTTCACTTAATATCCAAAAGTGAAGAGTTTAAATGTATAACAGTCAGGCAAGATCAGAAGATTGAGATGGCAAAGTTTTTAAACCGCATTCCCATTCCAATTACCAATAATATAGAAGAGCCTTTTGCTGCGAAGATTAATTTTTTGATCCAACCATATATTTCACGCATAGAATTTGAGGATTTCACAACAACTTCTGAAATGAATTTTATAATTCAGGTATTTTTCCTGTACTTTGACTTATAATTCTGTTTCCTATATATTTTCTTTTTCTTTTTCAGAGGGCTGAAAGCCTTTTCCGAGCACTTTTTGAGATTGTTTTGAACTGTGGTTGGGATCAATTGACTGAGAAAGCTTTGAACTTGTGTAAGGCAGTGACCAAGAGGGTATGGAATGTCCAAACTCCTCTTCGACCTCTTCGTCAGTTTGAAGAACTTCCAGATTATGTATTTACCTATCAGGAAAAGAAAGATTTGGCTTGGGAAAGTTACTATAAACTTTCAATTTCCAAAGCTGAGGCTTGCTGCACAAGTGCATCCCATCACTCACTCAAATTTGGGGGTTAAGCTCACAATAACTCCTGCATTTGAATGGGATGATGAAAAGCATGGTCTTGTTCAAGAGTTTTGGGTATTTTTGAAGGACAATGCTAATGTTAGTGAATATATCCTCCATCATGAGTATTTTAGACTGTTTAAACAGTACATTAAAGAGGACCACACATTAAATTTCACAGTGCCATTACACAAACCTCTTCCTTCTGAATATTTAGTATGTGTTGTATCTGATAAGTGGGTTGGATCCCAAACTGTTTTGCTTCTTTCTTTGGGACATTTAATTTTATCGGAAAGGTACTCTCTGCCTACTAAACTGTCGGATCTGAAACAGCTGCCGGTTACTGCGTTGGGAAACCAATCATAGGAAGCTCTTTATCTGGTTCTCAAACACTTCAATCCAGTACAAACACAGGTTTTTGAAGTTATGTATAAGTCGGATGAAAATGTTTTAGTAGCTGCTCCAACTGGGAGTGGAAAGGCTACATGCGCATAACTGGCAATTTTGAGGAATCATCAAAAGTTGCCTCATAATGTGATGTGGGTTGTGTATGTTGCACCCATTGATGCTCTTGCCAAAGAACAGTATCGTGATTGGGAGAAGAAATTTGGGGGTGGTCTGAAGTTGAAGGTAGTGGAGTTAATCGGAGAAATTGTCATTGATTTGAAACTGTTTGAGAAAGGTCAGCTTATTATCAGTACTGTTCAAAAATGGAATGCTTTATCCCTCCACTGGAGAGAGAGAGAGGGAACATGTTGGACAGGTTAGTCTATTCATAGTAGACCAGCTTCATTTAATTGGAGGTCAAGAAGGTCACACTTTGGAGGTTATGGTTTCAAGAATGAGACACATTGATACCGAGGTTGAGAATAAAATTTGCATGGTTGCTTTGTCAAATACACTTGCAAGTGCAAAGGATCTTGGAGAATGGATTGGAGCTCCCTCTCAGGGCCTTTTCAATTTCGCTCCTGTTGTTCATCCTCTGCATGTTGAAGGTATCCTAAATATCATAAATTTTGAGGCTAGGATGCGGGTAATGACCATACCAACTTATACTTCTATTGCTCAACATGCCAAGGATGGAAAGCCGGTGATTGTATTCGTACCCACAAGAGAGCACATCCGACAAACAACAACTGATCTAATTGCATACTCAGGTGTAGACAAAGGTGAGAAGCCACTTTTACAACGATCCTTGGAAGATCTCAATCTTTTTATTAACAAGACTAGTGATGCTATATTAAAAGCCACTTTATGCGAAGGTGTTGGCTTCTTGCACGAGGGATTGGATCGTCTTGATCATGACATTGTGAGACAGTTATTTGAAACCGGTTGGATTCAGGTATGCATTCTAAGCAGATCCATGTGTTGGAGAGTGAAATTATCAACTCATGTAGTAGTTGTGATGGGTTATGACGGGCTAGCGAATTCACATCTTTATTACCTTCTTACCGATTTGTTGCAAATGATGGGTCAAGCCCATGCTTGTTGTCCTTCGATGGACAATTATTCAAAATGCATAATTTTGTGCCATGAATCTCAGAAAGAGTATTACACAACGTTTTTATCAGGACCATTCCCTCACGAAAGTGTGCTTCAACATTCTCTACATGATCATTTACTTGTTGAAGTTGTAGCTGCACGTATTAACAATATGCAAGATGCTGTGGATTATCTTGCAGAGTCCTTCATGTTCCAACGCCTCACCAACAACCCTAGCTATTATGGTTTACAAGGAACCTTGGATACATCCATTTTCCTCTCAGAGTTGGTAGAAAGTTCAATCTTTGACTTGAAGAAAAAGGGGTGTGTTAGAGTTGCAAGTAATGGCGTAATAAATTTTATTGGTCATGGGAAAATTGCTTCCGATTGTTTCATTAATTCGAAGACCATGAACATGTTTCTGTCATGTTTGAGGAGAACAACTAAACTAAGGGGTATGTTGGAGATGTTGTCTAAGTCAGCTGAGTTTGCTGAATTGCCAATTAGACCAGGGAAAGAGGGAGAGGACATTGATGGGATGTTTCACCATCAAAGGTTTTCCTACCGTAGGCAAATGCTTTGCTGCAAACTCATTTTTCAAGGAATATTCTCTGTCCAAGTCTTGCCATGGATCAGGAGTACATTTTAGTGTCTGCACAACGATTGCTTCATGCACTGATTCTAACTTCTACCATATTATGTAGTACAAACATACGTTCGATTGCAATCTTACTTCACCAAAAGATAATCCAAGCGCTACTCGAAGATTCTTCTGTTTTACTTTAAGTTCCCCATTTTACGATTGAGATGGTTTCTAAATGTTATAAAAGAAACCTCTTTTTTGATGATCTAACCAGAAGATGAAAATATCACCCGTGCTTCTCAAAATTTATGGGAAATAAAGACAGAGAAATCGTTCACGCCCCATTTTCCCTTGAAACACAGAGAGAAATGGTGGATTCATCTTAGAGAAGCTTTAAATCCTTCTTGGACGGAATACAAACTGAGGAGAAGAACAGTGTATTCATGAGGCTAACGGTTGTCGAATTTTTTTGGGACATACAAACTAAGTTAGACATAGTTGTACGTCCCAGAAAAAGTCGACAACGTTACCTTCATGAATACACTGTTCTCCTCCCCAGTTTGCATTCCGACAATATTCCAAGAAGGATTTAAAGCTTCTCTGAGATGAATCCACTATTTCTCTGGGTGTTTTAGGGAAAAAACTATGAGATCAATCCACTATTTCTCTTTTTTTTATGGGGCGTCAACGAGCACCGTGATATTTTCATCTTCTTGTTGGATCTCTTTACCTAGTATGAAAATTCAGGTAAGATGCAGGAGTAATTGAAAAATTCATCAATATCATCTAATTCTCAACGCTTCAACAATTTCCCGATTCTCCAAGACTTTTGTTAAATCATTAAAAAAAATGTTTCTTTTATGACATTTAGAAAACTTGAAGTAAAACAGAGGTATCTTCGGGTAACGCTTATATTGTCATTTGGTGAAGTAAGATTGCAATCAAACGTATTTCTGTACTACGTAATATGGTAAAAGTTAGAATCAGTGGAGCAATCGTTGTGCAGACACTAAAATGTACTCCTGATCTATGTCAAGACTTGGACATCAATCGTTGTGCAGACACTAAAATGTACTCCTGATCCATGACAAGACT